GTGGGTTTAAAAAAAACCCTGCCTGGTTTGGGGCACAAAGCTGGGGGGAGATGCGTGGGGCAGCAGCGAGGGGAGCTGGGGACAGAGAGTACCCCGTCACCCACAGGGAGACGTTTCACCCGTGACAGGGCCCAGGGAGCCTACGGGGGTCTGCGTGGGGAGCCCCGGCCCGGCTGGCGGGGGCTTTGCAGGGGTCAACAGCAGCTGTGGGATCCGGAGGCGAGGAGGGAGCACGGCAGCTGAAGAAACATCCACCGTGACATTTAGAAACCAGCTCCCGCTCAGCGAGGCAGGTAAGCAAATCCCTGCCCCGAGCAGAAAGTAGGGACAGGAGTCACGGAGTAGGACAGACAGATTTATTGTGTTTCTGGGAGCAGCGCCTTTACATTTTGCTTGGGATAAGGTCACCTCCCTGCAGCCAGAGCAGAGAGACGGGTCAGGATGTTTATTCAAAGTGATGGGAACGAGAAGCTGCAGCCAAGACCCCGGGGTCTGCTGACAGCACAGGGCTGCACGTGTCACCGCAGCGACAGGAGGCCGACATTTGCCAGAGCCACTTGCAAAACATCTTTCCAGCAACACGTGCGAGGGCCAGGGCATATCATAGGAGTCCGCGCAGCTTCTCTGCTCCCACCAGGAAAGGGGAGGGCACGAGACAAGAATAAATACAGCTTTCAAAGGCCTCCCCCCCCCGACTCCACGCCCACTGCTATGGGCCTGGCGAAGGCATTTACAGGAGGAAATCTGTCAACCAGAATCCAACAAAGGAGTAGACGTATCCGGAAGGGGTTTAAGGCTGGCTCGTTCGCATCCTGATCTCCTCAACCAGACTCTCTCTGCGAACATTGACCTACACAGAGGGAGCACAAAGTTGCTTCAATACAACACAAGCAGCTTGGCGTAGCGCGACCTTCTGTGTCCCACAGGGGTGGCCCACACCGCATTTGTGGCCCTCTGTCTCGGGAGATCACACCGCGGTACGGTCCCCAGTCCCTCTATGTCTATGGGGATCGAGCAGCACACATGGAGCTGAACCTGTGAGAGCAAGCACCTGCCTGCAACCCTGCCCAACGATCATGAGAGGTCTTCCCACTCTTTC